ATCTTCAGGTGGCAGAGTAACCAACTCTGAGTGTAACTAATTATGGGGCTCTGCCGCCTGGCTCCTCTGTCTTCTTGTGAATGGCTGATAGGTGGCGGCCTGCTCCACTCCCCTAGTGGGTTCTGGAGGGGGTGTTTGGGTCTCAATAGATCCCCTGTGTATTTAACTCCATTACATGTTTTATCCCCTTAGTAGACTTTATTATTTGGTTTGGCTCATTTGAAGCTCCTTGACTGTTCTTATTTCTTTTCAATTTTATTAGTAATTTTAGGTTAAAAATTGAAAGAAATAACTTCATAAAAGTTACATAAATCATGTGTGTATTTTCAATGCATAAATATTGCACATTTCTATCATAAAATAAATATACAAGTTGTTCGAAAATAAATAAATTATTTTAAATTAATAATTTGATTAAAAATAAGAAAACACCTATTAGGGGCCATTTGATAACAGATGAAGCGGCTGAACTGAAAAGTGTATTGCTTTGTCTTTTAGTGAATAAGTTTTTAAGGAGGCTGTAGTTTTCTTAATTGATAAAGCTGAAAGTTGTATAGATAATTATAGCCTTGAATATTTTATTCTTTGACCATTTTATCCACTAAAAGACAAAAGCAATAAGTCACAACTTCATCTGTTATCAAAAAGCCCCTAAGAGTTAGGCAAAAGAAAACACCATAAAACTTATACCACTAGCATCAGGAACTGGGAGCAGTACCAAGAGGATAAGGAGCGCTGCAAGCTAAGGAATTTAGGTAGAACATGATGAGCTCTATTGAAGATGGTGACAAGTACCTTTCAACCTTTGACTCTTTGGCAGAATAAGATAATTAAATTATATTTCCTCCATATGCAATTTTGCTCAAGAAGGTTGTTATTCTAGAAAAGCCTAATAAATAATAACCAGTCACTCTAGTTATTGCTAGGGAATCATGTCATCATATAGAGTTATAACAAACTATCTTATTAGCATATGAATAATGGGGTCTAAGCATCTATAAATACGAAATCTCCACTAAGATGTAACCCGAGTTATCGAGTTATCACTTGTGATGGTTTAGACATGAATTGGGCCCCTGAAAATCAATCATATCAACAACATAAGAAGATGAAGATTTAACAATGTCCTATGGAACCTAGAGACCTACAAATCTGTCTCACCTAAAATGGGCCAAGTGGAGATGGATGTTGATCAAGAGCTCAATTAGGAATAGCTCTTTTCTTTATTTGGGTGCAGGTGAAATATGCCATTGGAGGTGAACAGATTTTTGAGTTGACGGTCTTCTTTTGGCCTAAGAAGAGAGGAAGAATCATGTGAAATGCACAAGGGATGTAGTGACATCCAGGGCCATCTGGTGTTGGGGGAGTTCTCAACAATAAAGATGACTCTATTTTTGCTTTTTATTCTGGACCAGCTGGGGTGGAAGATTCTACAAAGTCTGAAATCCTTGCTGTACTTCACAGTAAGGGATATGAATATTGTAAACCTGCTTATTGAAGGGAATCCCAAGTTGGTGGGATGATTACCGAAGCCAGAGACTGTGGTATGGGTTTATAGGGACGAAATCAAAAGGTCCAAATGATTAACTAGCAACATGATTGTTAGGATACAATGGGTGCAAAGGTCAGCAAACAGATTGGTTGATGCTTTAGCCAAACAAGGGATTGATAGGGGGTAAATGTACTGGGCTCAATTGTAATTTGCTTTTTTATTTTTTTATGTAAGATTGTGCAACATGCACCTCTCTATGCAATGCTTATATGCACACATTGTTATTACTCAGTTAATAAAATTTTAAAGTTACTGTTCAAAACAACCAAAAAGAAAAACATGTAGTCCGAGTATGCAGTCTTCTCTTTTCCAATATGCAAGATAGATGGACCTAATAGTTGCCCTGGATCACCTTTTATTGATCTCACATGCCACAATATCCAATATAGTGTATATTCTATAATAAACTTCAACCAAAACAGTTAAGTGCGTACAGAGGCACAAAACTAATAGATGAAAAAAGGGGTACTGAAGCAACAAATGGACTAAATATTCAGCACAGAACAAATCAATGCAACAAATAATGCTCCAAATAACAGCTACAATGCTCAGGATTAGCATATTACATACTTGTGTATATCTTTTCTCAATTGATATGCCTAGTTGTCCAAAGTCATTGAGACCAGTAGCAAAAACACACCCAGATTCTGTTAAAAAAATATAAGATAATTAATGAATTCTATTTGTAGGATAGTAAAAAGTATAATTTCGTAGTATAAGCCAAACATGAGATTCATAAATAATCACATTGAGATAACTGACAGTCTGACATAAAACAAAATGGATGCAAGCAAGTTTAGACATAGAACATCAGACAAAATATCATCAATAATCCAATTCTGGATATTAGATCAGCAATACAAGCAATCTGCATATGAATGATGACACTAACATCACTTTGCTCTATCCATACAAGTAAACAAACCATGAGCCTTGGGTCATCTCATGCAAAACATATCACTGATATGAATGGTTTCAAACAATTGGAAGTACCAAAGCATTAAAGCTTTGTATAGAATTGGGTTTTTGGCACCATCATCATCAAATAAAGGAATAAAGATCTTTGCTTACAATGCCTCACTCACTTGGGTAATAAGGTCTGCCAACCCCCTAGCTGATTCATTTACCAAAGAAAGTGTAAATAGGCAGGACTTGTATTGGGGATCAACACCATAAAAAAGTATTGGGAATCATATTCCTTGGAATAGTTGATCATTTTATGGGAATAGACCAAGTTTGACATTGGGATGAGCATCCAAAAGGGTCTTTTATCTGTTATTTGAGATAGGAAAAAGCCTATTTTTTTGCTTGTACCATACCTCTCATCCTTTTTTAATTAAACTCTTATCAGTTACCAACCAAAAATACAGAAGAAATTCTGTATGAAACTGTGAAACCCAATAGATGTTGGTATACACAGTTAATTCAATAGTCAAACCACTTTCGTTACTTGGTGGTTCCTATACATTGTGTGTTTGAACCTACTATTGTATTAGAATCATTCATGTTCAGTGGGAAACGGGTCAGTATTCAAGAAATGTTTGCATTTGTTTCTTCTATTACATAACAAAGGTCTTTTCTTGCCACCCACCTTGATTGGTGTTCTGGATCAACCTCAATCCAACATTTATAAAATTAGTAACATGGGACATAAAGTATGGACAGTTTCAAATTGACATGTGTTCTGGGACTTGACAGTGTGCGTCTCGGCCCATTTGTGTCATGTCTTCCTATTTCTTGTTGGGCTATACTTCTGTTATTAAGTGTTAATGGGCTTGGGCTTCCTTATTTAACTTACTCCATCCCTTACTAATGGGGAGGGTAAAATTGTAATTATGTCTTTTAATATTGCCCTAATATAAATATCAGTTTGATAGGCTGGGTAGAGTTAAGCCACCCTGTTTGAATCAGAATACAAACATGGTATCAGAGCATTAAGTCGATCTCATTCTGCTCGCCTATCTTCTTCACCTCATCTTTTGTCTTACGTTTTCGCTTTTATTGTTGGATTAACAAGGAATTCTGCTGGTCGTGGTTGACTGAAGGTTTTTTGAGGTTTGTCTTTGGAAAAACTCCAAGGAAACCCAAAATAGTTGCTGGTGTGTCCAGGTAGGGCAAGAAACTGTGGAGTAGTCGTATATGGACTACTAGAAAGACCTATTTAACAGTTCAGCCACTGGACTTCCAATAGTATCAGCTAGGAGTTTAGTTCACAGTCCAGCCAAGCTTGTTTGGGAAGCTTGAGTAAAGGGGAGTGCTGTTAGTTCTTTTCTATTGCTGTTGTTCTAAGTTCTACTGAGGTAGTAGTCGACTACTAAGAAATCTCTTTGTGTAGTAGTTGACTACTAGAAACAGGATACTGTTAGTAGTCAACTACTAAGAAATCTCTTCATCTAATAGTCGACTACTAACAAGTAGCAGTTGACTACTTGCTACAAGGTATTACTTTGAGTGAGTTCATAATGTCTTCCAGCACTAGTGAGGTATCCACTGGAGGTTCTAGGACTGTTGACAATGTTATTCACCTTGGAAATCCTATGGTACAAATTACTAATGTGAAGCTAGATGAATATAACTTTAGGGAATGGACCATTTTGGCAAGATGGTCCATAGTGAGTCATAGACTACAAGGCTACACCGATGGGAAGATTTAAGGAGCCCAAGGAAGATGAACCACGTTATAGGACTTGGTGTAGGGAAAATGCAACTGTGATGTCATGGTTGATGACTTCTATGACTCAAAATTGCGAGGACTGTTCAGCATTATACAACAGCCCACAAGATTTGGGAGAAACTGTACAACACCTATAGTCAAAAGAAAAATATAGCAAGGATTTACAGGTTGAATCAAGACATCTTTTGTTTGACTCAAGGGGACATGACTGTAGCAACTTATTTTACTACATTAGAAAGCTTATGGGAAGAGCTTGATCACCATTTAATTCTTAAATGGGATAGCTCCAGTGACAAAGAAAGGCATGACAAGCAAATTGAAGAAAGAAGAATATTCATGTTTCTAGCTGGTTTGGACCATTCATATGAAAGCATTAGAGCTCAAATTTTGGGGAGAGATGAGCTTCCAAGTCTGCATCATGTGTTCTACCTGATTAGGAATGAGGAGATGAGGAGGAAAGAAAGGGAAACCGGTGTTCCACTTCAACCAAGTGAGTAATCTGCACTTGTTTCCAGCAACCCTAAGGGTGCAAAAGGGACTGATAAGAAGAACTTGAAGTGCTCACATTGTGGGGAAGAGAGGTAGATATTCTGAACCGGTCTATGGCTCAGTTGAAACAATCATCCATTTGCTTCCTCCCAATTTGCAAAGACAGGTATAATATTTTCCCTTAGTGCTATTTAGTCCTCTTCATCAAACTCTTGGGTTATTAACTAAGGAGCCTCTCAGCACATGACAAATTCATCTTCTTTATTCACTTCTTACCATCTCTCATCTGAGCATGATAAGGTAAAGATTGTTGATGGCTCTCTTTCCACTATTTCTGGAAAGGGAGACATTCAACTAGGAAAGGGAATTCTTCTCAAATCTGCCCTACATCTTCCAGACTTCACCACTAATTTACTTTCAGTCTCAAAAATAACCAAAACCCTAGATTGTGTTGTAACCTTTTTTCCCACTCATTGTGTTTCCCAGGACTAGGTAACGAGGCAAACGATTGGGAGTGGTCGTGAAGCTGGTGGCATCTACTACCTTGGTGATGATACAACCTCAGCTCTGAAGGCCTCTACTAGTGGTAGCAATAACAAGGAGCCAAGCACAGTCCTTTTTACTTGGCATGCTAGATTAGGTCATCTTCCAGACTGTGTTGTAACCTTTTTTTCCCACTCATTGTGTTTTCCAGGACTAGTTGACAAGGAAAACGATTGGGAGTGGTCGTGAAGCTGGTGACCTCTACTACCTTGGTGATGATACAAGCTCAACTTTGAAGGCCTCCACTAGTGGTAGCAGTAACAAGTAGCCAAGCACAGTCCTTTTTACTTGGCATGGTAGATTAGGTCATATGTCCTCATTGTTGAAAGTTTTGTTACCAAAACTCTTTGGAAATGTGTCTGTTGAAAGTCTATTTTGTTATGTGTGCCAGTTGGCAAAACACTGTAAGGCAAACTATCTAAGTTCTATTAGTAATGTTACTACCTTCTTTGATTTAGTTCACTCTGATGTGTGGGGTCCTTCTCCCATTGTTTCTATGGATGGCTATCACTATTTTATCAGTTTCATTGATCACTTCTCACGGTGTACCTGAGTTTATCTTATGAAAGAACGAGGAAGTTACTAGAATCACAATGATGTTTTGTAAGGTTTGAAACCCAGTTTGGAAAGAAAGTTAAACGGTTCAGGTCAGACAATGCAGCTGAATACTTTAAAAACACCTTGAACTTGAAGATGAATGGACTTTACACCAATCCTCTTGTAGTTACACCTCACAACAAAATGAGGTAGTAGAGAGAAAAAATAGACATCTCATGGAGACAGCCTGTGCTTTATTGTTTCAGCACAAGGTTCCCAAGAAATATTGGTCCCATGCAATACCTACTGCATCATATTTGGTTAATAGGATGCCATCCAAGATACTTGGGTTCAAAACCCCTTTCTCTGTTCTCTGTCCTACTGATCCTGTGTTTTCTTTACCACCAAAAGTCTTTGGTTGTGTTTGTTTCATTCATGTTAAGGATCCAAAAAGCACCAAGTTGGATCCAAGGGAAATTCAGGGAGTTCTGTTGGGTTGTTCACCCACACAAAAGGGATACAATGCTTTGATCCACATACAGAGAGAAAATTCGTCACCAAAGATGTTACCTTTTGTGAGTCACAGTCCTTCTTTGTACCTTCTTGGAATCCTCTTTAGGGGGAGAATTGTGGGGTGGAAGAGAACTCCTCTTTAAGTAAATCCATTTGTCTCTACTCCTATTGTCTCTTCTCCTCTTCCATCCTCTCCTCTTGTCCCTCAATGTTCAGGTGGTCCTTGTCCTAACCCTCAAACTCAAGACGATGAGATTGCTCTTGCTCCCACTACTCAAGATAATGGTGTGGCTCTTGCTATAGAAGTTGACAAGACTGTTGGGAAGGAGATGAGTGTGAATTAGAGGAAAAGGAAGAGAGGTCAGTCAGTTAATGACTACAACTAGTTAGATGCCTCTGAAGCTGGTCAAGGTAATATCCCTGTTACTTCTCATTTGTCCCCAACATATTATTCCTCTGTTTCTGCCTTGTCTTCTATTTCCACTCCTTCCAGGTACTCTGAGGCAATTCTTGACCCTAAATGGAGGGAAGCAACGTATGAAAAAATGAGAGCATTATTGAAGGCTGGTACTTGGGAAGTAGTGGATCTACTAGTTAAAAAGAGCATTATTGGGTGTAAATGGGTGTACACTGTGAAACATTAGGCCGATGGATCAGTAGAGAGATTTAAAGCAAGGTTGGTGGCAAAAGAGTTCACATAGGAGGGCATTGACTATACAAAGACCCTTGCTCCAGTTGCCAGTTGAACACCATATGGGTATTACTGTCTCTAGCAGCCAACTACAGTTGGGAATTGCACCAATGGGACGTCAAGAATGCTTTTTTGAATGGAGATCTTCAAGAGGAGGTTTATATGGATCCTTCACCGGGGTATAACACGAATGGAAAAGTATGCCAATTAAGGAGAGCCCTATATGCACTTAAGCAATCTCCTAGGGCGTGTTTTGAAAGACTGTGCAAGGCAATGAAGACTGTGGGATACTATCAATGTAGTGCTGATAACACACTATTCTCTAGAAGAAATGGAGAGAAATTAACAACATTGATTGTTTATGTGGATGACATGGTGGTGACAAGAAATGATCCAGAAGAAATCAGAAGATTTAAGAAGTTTTTGACCTCTGAATTTGATATAAAGAACTTGGGACCTATAAGGTACTTCCTAGGGATAGAGGTGGCCAAGTCTAAGGAAGGAATTTATATTTGTCAAAGGAAGTATGCTTGGACCTCCTGAAGGAGACAGGAAAATTAGGTAGCAGACCTATTGAGACTCCTATTGAACAAAACTAGGGATTGTATGAAAAGGATGAGGACCTTTAACCTGACAAGGAAAGATATCAACGACTTGTAGGTAAACTTCTATACCTATCTCTCACTAGACGCAATATTGTTTATGTTGTCCATGTCGTTAGTCAATTTATGCATGCTCCTCAAGTTGCACACATGAAGGCAATGGAGAGAATACTATGGTACTTGAAGACATGTCCTGGAAGAGGGTTGTTATTTAAGAAGCATGATAAACTTAATGTTTACAGCTGATTGGGCTGGACCAGCTGGAGATAGGAGGTCTACAACTGGATATTGCACATTTGTGGGTGGAAATCTTGAAACTTGGAGAATCAAGAAACAAACTGTGGTGGCTCAATCAAGTGTTGAAGCTGAATACCGGGCAATAGCACATGGAGTGGCTGAACTTCTTTGACTCAAGATACTCCTAAAGGAATTGGGAATCACAATGTAAGGACCCTTGAAGCTCTATTTTGACAACCAAGCTGCGATATATATTGCTAATAGTCTAGTTCAGCATGATAGGACCAAACACATTGATAGGCACTTTGTGAGAGAAAGGATTGTGTCTGGAGAGTTATGTATTCCTTACATGCCATTTACAAGACAAGCATAGTTGTCAAGGCAACGCCTAGGCGGCAAGGCACCCTTGGAGGCTCGCCTCACCTAATCGCCAAGTAGTTTTCTATAGCGTGTTATAAAAAACTTTAATTTTTTGAGGTTATAATTATAAAATAGACATTTTTAAACTAAAATATTCATTTTGTGTGCTATATACTAATTTCTTTTTATTATTTTCTTATTTGTTAGGGTTTAATCAACACAAATATTGCTAAATGCTGTATTGAACCCTCAAAGACTTCAAAACCTGAACCAATAAGTAATGAAAGAACATAAAATGTTGCCCAATCAACACACTTTCTTCTTTTTCTTTATTAATTTTCCTATAACAGAAATAGGGGTTCAGCCCCTATATTTTTTTATTTTTCTTTTCTTTCTTCTTTTTCTTCTCATGAATATGTTGGAATATGTTGATTTTMTAYWCTTTAAMAWRAAGYTTATACTTKTCTTATGAAAATTATGGATATTTATTAAGGAAATATGATTATATAACCTAGGGAACTACCCTAGGATACATGTTTTTACTTAAAAAAATCCATCGACTAGGCGACAAGGCGCCCCCCTGTCGCCTAGCCTCACCTTGGCGCCTTTAGAACTATGAAGACAAGTTGCTGATTTATTCACTAAGGGACTTGCTAAAGCCAGATTTGGTGACTTGGTGTGCAAGCTGGGCATGATGGACATCTATGCTCAGCTTGAGGGGGAGTATTGTGGGACTTGACAGTGTGGGTCTCGGCCCATTTGTGTTATGTCTTCCTATTTCTCATTGGGCTATATTGAAAATCTCCTTATTCTAAAGACTAGATTGCAGACCCAAAAGCTATCATATCATATGAAGAGATCTGAATTCTCTTAATAACAATGTTAGGAATTTGAACAAACTGAACCCATAATGAGGCCTTATGATTGAAATCAGCAACAGAATCATGAATTTCTATTTTAGACTGAGGATCACAGATCAGTACCTCAAAAGAAATCTTTATCTTGCATCAAGTTTGAAACATAGTTACTGGTATAATAGCATCATGAACTAAGTGTTGATTCACAGTCCCCATATGCTTTTGCTTTTTGCACTATAGATGGAGAACAACAAGAGCATTGTCCACAAGACATCTTTACAGATGACTCCAACATCCAAAACATTCTCCATTTTTGTAAAACTTCTCCTGTTTTTCATGATATGGAATTGGCACAACTCAATACTCTTATAATTATCCATACCTATTATACCAAAGATCACAAATATAAATTGGGATGTAATTCCATGTCTTAAAAAACACTGCCCCTTCCTCTGCCTCATCCACTTAAGGAAAGTCAAAAAAGGTAAATACAAAAAAAAAAAAAAAATATCTTATCCTCTGAATAAATTAGACCCCAAATAAATGCATGCCCAAAACCTCCCACAAACAGAAATCACCTGGAGAGGACTGTCCAATAACAGTGACATAGGTCTATTGACAGAAGTATACATACATGTTTTCTTACCAAAGAAAATCATGATTGATAAACCACCATGCTTAATCAGATACTCCTTTACCTACAAGGATCCCAAGTCTCAAGAAATTGAAGGCAAGACACATCAAGCTTACAAGTGCAGTAGAATTCATTGTGGGTTCTTCTGAATGATCTCTAAACTATTCACTGTGTGATTTTTTATCATCTCCTTCTTTCCTGTTCTAATTTACATTGTAATACAAATAATAAATATCCAAAGCATCCAACCGTTCCAATGCTAGAAGAATTCTATTTGCAGTATTACTAGTTAAAAGGAACAACTCAAGAAGGTATCCACTAAAAGCCACTACGCATAAAAAATAAACAAAAATAAAAGAGGACCGCGTTAGAATTAAATGCAAGAAGAGCATTCTGGCCACAACTCAGAAATTACTTTAGGTATTGATCAAAAAAAAAAAAATTACTTTAGGTCGACCAAAATTTAACAGTAACCGCCATTTCAGTTTAGGATTCGAAATTCCAATGTCAAACTATAAAAGACTAAAATTTGGTATAGGAGGGAAAGGTGACAATAAAACAGTGTGGACAAGAGAACTGTAATTTCACAAGTTTAAGTAAACTATAATATTATGCATAGCTACTTTTGGTCCAGACTTCATAAAACAATTAGGAATCCAACCAATTCATAATTCTACAAGACTGAGAAAACAAATAGTCTAAAAAGGAATAATGAATGTCATAAGCAAACCTGTTAAGAAAAGGGTATGAGCTCCACCACACGCAATGGCACGAAGACTCTCATTCTCGAATCCAGGGCAGACCGCTGGTCTCCACTGAGAATCCAATTTGCCCAACCCCAACCTCCCATAATCACCATTTCCCCAAAGAGCAGCAAATCTCTTCTTGGGTTCGGTCGACATCCATCTCCGCCAAAACCCTAACCCTAACCCATTCATGGATGTCGATCTACAAACCCGCAAGCACCTCCTCCACATCCTCGATCACAAAGTCCGTTCATGAAGAAGCAAGACTTTTGAAAATTGTCATTTTCGAAAAAAAATAAAAAAGATTTTTGAAAATTGTTGTTAATGCTTTCTTCTTTTTATTAATTCAAGTGTGCCATTAGCAAGCAATTCAATACAAAGAGACGAGGAAAAGTGAGAATCCGTCTGGTCATCGACTGGTTTGAAAATGGAGGAGCTGACGACGGTTGTTGGTATATTGGGTGGTGGTGACAATGCTGCGTGACCTTTGCTCTGTAACGTGTCGTATCGGTCGTTGCTGAAAAGAAGTTTCGGTCAGAACCTTGGCGCATGACAGAGAGGGATCGAATCGAATTCGAATCTAATGTAGCGCTAACGTAGCAACCGGCAACCATCTAATTGATGAAAGTCCGGATCTACTACTCAAAGAACGCTCTTCACACAAATCTCACAACACGTCTAACCCACACATCGAGAACATCTCTCACATTTGTATGCTATAATATTCCGAATGAAAGTAAGAAGTACAGTGAGGTCGGTATTAGGAGTTTTGTAAGGTGACGAAATCTGCAGATTCACCATACATTGAGAACATCTTTTTTGTAAGGAGCAGATCCCGATTCACAATTTGCACTTCAGAGGCAAGTATGTGGTAGAGTACCACTGTACTTTTGGCAGTACAGGCCCGTTCGCATCTGCCCCTCAGCTTTGCTCCCCAAAAATGTCCCACGGGCTGTGAGCGTGCCACATGTCCTCCCACACGCAGATTAGAGGGACTCATGCGTGTCCTCCCACATGTCCCATGGGACAGCTGTTAGGTCCCTCTCGCCCAAAAGGTCATCCTTTTCACTCCTCTCTCTCGAATTTCAGCTCACTTCAACCCTCGTCCTTCTGCTCTCATAACTGAAACCCGTTGAAGATTGCCCCTTTGAGTTCCGTCGGTCGATGCTGACGACCGTTTCGATAGATTTATTTACCGGAGACAAGTATCCTTCAGTTCTCAAGTAAGTTTTTTTCTTATTTTCTACCTTGTTTTTTGTTTTTTTTCTCATTTTCGCTGGAGTGGAAGCCCCCTTCCAGTTCCACTGGTCGACGTTGACAAGTCAGAACCGCTGCAACATCTGCAACTCCGTGCCTCTTCCATTAACCAACAACTCACTTCACAAAAGAAAAATTATTATGCATGACAATTTAAGGTTCTGGTGGAATCACCCAATTTCATTTAATAAAAAAAATTGCGTCTAATTGTACAATTTGATGTTTTCTTTTCCCGAGTAGTCTTCGTGGGTTTTTTCAAATCACTCAGCATGTACAATTTTACTTCTCTTGTTCTCAAGTTGTTATGAAGGATTCTTGTTTCTTCTGCCTCTATGCTCTCTGCTCTGTCTCTCTGTCCAATCTAAATATTTACAAATCAACTTATTAATTTTTTTCTTGTTGTAGATGAAGCACCAATACCTCCAGAACTTGAATCATCCAAACATGCGGGCAGGATTTTTTGGCTCCATCCACAGACATCTGAACAGAACATTTCAACCCAAAATTAGTATTTAATTGATTTTATTTGTTTCAAGCATTGAAATATCAAACACGTTCCGTTGTACATACCCATGCGGGCTGGAGCTTCCATTGTTTTTTCTATTGCAAAAAACAAAAAACAATGTAGAAAAATAAGAAAAAACAAATTTGAGAATGGAAGAAGTGAGAATAAAGAGAAAAACTTACTTCCAGTAAATAAAGCTGCCAAACGATTGTCGGCATCAACTGAGGGAACTCGAACGGGGGAAGCTCCGGCAGATTTCAGTTCGTGCACTCCTGGTCGAGAGTTCAAGTGAGGGCTGAGATTCGAGAGAGGGAGAGGAGTGAGAGTCTGAGAGATTACTTATTTTGAGCGAAGAGGGAGGACACGTGCACTCCGCACGGGTTAGATGCATTCGTGTATGGGAGGACTCGCGGCGCATTGTGAATCCATGGGACGTTTTTCGGGGGCAAATCTGTTGGGGGCGGATGCGAACCCCATTTGCATTGCCATCCCTAAAGTCATCCACGTCAACATTCATTCAATGTTTTGATAGAAGGAAACGCCCATTAATGGTTGGTGTTTTTGAACACCAGTTATATACCCCCTCAACCCCATTTAAATAGAACGTTGAGCCAAGCTGTTCATAATACTATTTTACTAGCGGAGGGGCCTGCTTCGCAGGGGCCGGAATAGAACCCGTCGATCCGTTGACTCGTTGATTTAGTCTCTAGTGAAAACTATTGAATCAGTCAATGACTTTGTTGACTCGAGTGGTTGAATTATTGACCCATTGACCCGTTCAATGGTTTTTGGCCGTTTTTTTGTTTTTTTAATTGGAAACCATCCAAGCAATCGATTCCGCTTTATCTTAATCTCGATCCCTAGCCAAAAATCGTCAAATCGGTCAATGACCCATTGACCCGGGTGGTCAAACCATTGATCCGTTCAATGGTTTTTGGTTGCTTTTTTTTATTTTTGTTGTCAAAATGGGCCATCTGTTCGAACCGAACAGTCGAACAGTCGAACAGTCGAACCATCAACCTAAAAACCAGTGGCCAAAACGATTTCGTTTTCAGGTCGTATGAATCACACGCTTGAATGACATAACACGTATGGTACTGCTTAATGGACCTCACACACTCAATTTTTTGCCTGTAATTTTTGTTGTCAGAACGGGTCGTCTGTTTTTTTATTTTTTTAATTGGGAACCATATAGGCAATCATTTCCATTTTACCCCAATCCCGGTCCCTAGCCAAAAACCATTGAATCAGCCAATGGCCCATTGACCTGAGTGGTCAAACCGTCAACCCGTTGACCCATTCAATGGTTTTTAGCCATTTTTTTATTTTTTTTAATTTTTGTTGTCATAATGGGTTGTCCGTTCAAACCAGACGATCAAACCATCGACCCAAAAACCAATGGCCAGAACGGTTCCATTTTCGGGTCGTATGAATTACATGCTCAAATAACATAACATCACAATTTTTAAAACCAACCCAAAGATCGAACTGGTTAGGAGTCCAGTTACCGAGTCGAATAGTCCGATCGTTCAAACCAAACAATCAGCCCATTTTGACAAAAAAATAAAGAACAGTCAAAACCGTTCGAACGATTCAATATCTAGTTATTAACAATATTTATAATAACTATTAAATGTTTATATAATTAGATAATTATATATATCTAATTATTTTATCTAATTATATATAACAATATTTATATATTGTGGGTTGCTCTCACGTGGGAATCTACTCGCACCAGTAGATTCCATTTCTTGCATGGAGAGAGCACCCCTATCCTATATATATATATATATATATATA